CTGCTGCTGCTGCTGCTGCTGCTGCTGCTGCTGCTGCTGCTGCTGCTGCTGCTGCTGCTGGGGGCTGCTGCTGCTGCTTCCCGGATGTCCTCGAGAATCAGCCGCGAGAGACTTCTGCTGCGGGTGCATGCAGCAGCAAGAAAGGCCAGCCACCTGCTGTCGCCCTTTATGACCACTGCAGCAAGATGGGGGGCCCCCTGGATTGCTGCTGCCAGCTGCTGCTGCTCGGGGGCCCCCCGGGGGCCCTCCTTGAAGGGGGCCCCCACCACCAAAACATCCAAGAAGGGGAGGGGCCTCTCGGGCTGCAGTTTGTGGACTTTGAGGGACACGGGGTGTACGTACACCGCGCTCGCTGCTGCTGCTGGCGGCCCCTGCTGCTGCTGCTGCTGCTGCTGCTGCCCGTGCTGCTGCTGCAGCCACTCCAGCGCAGCAGCAGTCAGCGAGCACAGCTGCACCACGTACAGACCCTCGTTCCCTACTCTGCTGCTGCTGCTGCTGCTGCTGCTGCTGCTGGACCTGCGCGTCGTGGGGGGTGTTGCGCGGCTGGGCGGCCCCTGGGGGCCCCCCTGGGGGCCCCCTAGGAGGCCCCAGGGGCAGCAGCCAAAAGGGAAGCAGTGGGGGCCCCAGGGGTGCTCCCCCACTTCCTCATTGAGGGGCCCCAGCAGCAAGTCTGCTGCTGCTGCTGCTGCTGCTGCTGGAGCTGCAGCGGCTGCTTTGACGCCCCCTGCTGCTGCTGCTGCTGCTCCCCCTGCGCGCCGCTTGCCGGTCTTCTTTGCTGCTGCAGCAGCTGCTGCAGCAGGCGCTGCTGCTGCTGCTGTCGCTGCTGCTGCTGCCGCTGCAGTACGCGACCGCAGAACACGGGACGCGCCGCCCGCTGCAGGCATCTCTACCTGCTGCTGCTGCTGCTGCAGCTGCTGCAGTTGCTGCGGGTGTTGCTGCTGCTGCTGCTGCTGCTGCTGCTGCTGCAGGCGATGCTCTCGGGGGGGCCCCCGGCGCCTCGAGGCCCCTGGGGGCCCCCGAGCTTACAGGTGCGTCTTCTGGCTGTGCTCTTTGCTGCTGTTGAGCTCTAAAGCAGCAGAAGCAGCAGCAGCAGCAGCAGCAGCACCCATGTGTTTCCTGCTGCTGCTGCTGCTGCTGCTCCCAGGGGCCCCGGCTGTCAAGTGGCCCCTATGTGTCTTTGTTTGCTGCGCTGCAGCAGCAGCTACAGCAGCAATGACAGAAATGCAAATAAGAAGGGCTCGTCCATTTAAGTTGAGCCTGTTGCTGCTGCTGCTGCTGCTGCTGCTGCTGCTGCGGCTGCTGCTGCTGCATGTCTGCGCGCGTCTGCAGACTGTTGAGACTCTTCTCTGCAGCCGTTAAAAGAAACCAAATTAAAACACTAAACAGCAAACGAATTGCTGCTGCTGCTGCTGCTGCTGCTGCAGCAGCAGCAGCAGCAGCAAGAACCTAGGGCCCCAGGGAAGCGGGGCCGATGTCTGAAGGAGCTCTTGAGGTGTCTAGACACTAGAGAAAGGAGCGCGCAGCAGCAAACCGCCCTAAACCCTAAACCCTAAACCCTAGACCCTAAACCCTAAACCCTGCAACGCCTCAAGCGCTGCCTCGGGGTCCTGAGTTACAGCCCCAGCCCCGATGCCCTGGGCCATACAAACCCTAAACCCTAAACCCTGAACCCTAAACCCTCGGCCCTAAACCCTAAACCCTAAACCCTCATTTCAGGCCCTCAAACAACAGACTAGTCCCAAACCCTAACCTCAAATCCTACTTCATTCCAAGCTGACACCGCCTCTGCGCCTGCGCAAACCCTAAACCCTAAACCCTAAACCCTAAACCCTAAACCCTAAACCCTCATACGGAGGATACAGAACTGGGGGCCTTCAGCACTACAGAGCGCCGCTGAAGACTCCCAGGGTTCCTTGATCTGAGGCTCCAGGCCACTGACTCCCTAAACCCTAAACCCTAAACCCTAAACCCTGAAGAAGTCCTAGCTTTGGTGGTAGCCGCTGCAGCAGCCACGGGAAAGCGCTCTGTCTGCTCCCTAAACAGTTACTTCAGCTGCTGCTGCTGCTGCTGCAGCGTCTAAGAAACACTAGTCCGCAGCAGCAGCTGCTGCTGCTGCTGCAGTCGTGCTGCAGCAGCAGCTGCTGCTGCTGCAGCCCTGCTGCAGTGGCGCCAACGCCCTGCAGCCGCAGCTGTACATAGCAGCAAATGCATTCGCTGCTGCTGCTGCTGCTGCTGCTGGCGCGCTAGCTTCACCTGCAGCAGAGCAGCAGCAGCTGCTGCTGCAGCAGCTGCACTTGCTGCTGCTGCTGCTGCTTTTGCTGCTAAACCTCTACGGCTTTTGCGGGGCCCCACACTCTGGGCCTTCCGATGCTGCGGTGTACGTACACCTGAGCGCCGTGCGGTGTACGTACACCCCAGAGGTCCCGTTGCTTTTCTTTTCTTTTTGAATTTACTAATTCAACAAAAACTTCTTTTGCCATTTGCTTTTATCTGCTGCTGTTGCTGCTGCAGCAGCTGCTGCTGTTGCTGCTGCAGCAACTGCTGCTGTTGTTGCAGCAGCTGCTGCAGCTGCCGTCGTTGCTGCTACAGCTGCTGCTGCTGCTGTTGCTGCTGCAGCAGCTGCTGCTGCTGCTGCTGAACAGCAGCAGCCTCGGCGCTTGGCCCTCCCCGGCTTGCTGCTGTTCCGCCTCCTGTGCAGCTCCCGCCTGGGCCTCAGCAGCAGCAGCAGCAGCCGCTGCTGCTGCTGCTGCAGCAGCAGCTGCAGCAGCAGCAGCAGCAGCAGCAGCAGCAGGTTGCTGCTGCCTACAAAGTGAAGTCGTAAACTTCTGCAAACAAGGCGGGCCCTCCTTCCTCCAGCTTTTGGTCCACTTTGGCAAAAAAGGCAGAGACCCAGTCCCGCCAGCTGTTTGCTGCTGCTGCTGCTGCTGCTGCTGCTGCTGTGTCTGCTGCTGCTGCGTCTGCTGCTGCTGCTGCCGTGTCTGCTGCAGCAGCAGCGGGGGGACTGACGGCTGGCAGCAGCGAAGAGTACACTGAGACGCCGGAGACAGCAGCAGACTGTGCTGCTGCTGCGTAGGCCAAGTGCTGCAGGAAAGTGGAGAACCAGCTGCTGCTGCTGCTGCTGCTGCTGCTGCTGCTGCTGCTGCTGCTGTCGACTGCTGCTGCTGCTGCTGGGTGCTGCGCTGTGTCCGCAGCCTCAGCGGCAGCAGGCTCTTCAAGGGGAACAGCGGCCAAAGCTGCTGCTGCGTCTGTTGCTGCTGCTGGCTCTGCTGCTGCTGCTGCTGCTGCTTCTGGGTCTACTGCTGCTGCTGCTGCTGCTGCTGCTGCTGGGTCTGCTTCACAGGGAAGCAGCGAGCCGGGAGTCAGCAGCAGCTGATTCACCGGCCGCCACCGGCTGCTGCGGCAGCTGCTGCTGCTGCTTCTAGGGCTCGCAGCGGGCTCTGCTGCTGCTGCTGCTGCTGCTGCTGCTGCTGCTGGGTCTTCAGCACTATCGACAGCAGCAAACCCCAAATCTGCTGCATCACTCAGTAGGGGCCCCTGGGCCCCAAGAGAGAGAACGCGGGCGCTGCAGACTGCAGAAACACGCACCGAGGGTTTAGGGTTTAGGGTTTAGGGTTTGGGGTTTAGGGTTTAGGGTTTAGGGTTTGGGGTTTAGGGTTTAGGGTTTCAGGTTGGCTGGAGGTGAGGGAGTGATGGGACGCTCCAGTGAGAGGGCAAGACTGCGGACCCTAAGCCCTAAACCCTGAAACCTAAACCCTAAACCCTAAACCCTAAACCCTAAACCCTAAACCCTGTTGCAACTTGCATATCTACCCTTCGAGGCACTGTGAAGCCCTTGCTCTCTGCTGCGCGGCTTAGGGTTTAGGGTTTGGCGATTAGCGCCTTAGGCGAGCGGTTTAGGGTTTAGGGTTTAGGGTTTAGGGTTTGAGGACTTGTGTACTTACAGGAGGTCTCATGAGTCAGCAGCCCTACAAGGATGGAGGGGAGTACTAACTGTCGCATCTCTAGGGTTTAGGGTTTAGGGTTTAGGGTTTAGGCTTCTTTGGTTCCTACAAAACGCGAAAAAGATTCAAGCACACGTTTTTCAAGCATGCAGCAGCAGCAGCTGCTGCTGCTGCTGCTGCTGCAGCAGCCCCATGTCTCTGCGAGACAAAGCCTGGCAGCCGCAGCCGCAGCAGCAGCAGCAGCAGCAGCGGCTGCTGCTGCTGCTGCAACAAATACACAGGAATAAAATTTACTTCTTATTTTCGAAGTCCAAGAAATTCATTTTTAGGGTTTAGGGTTCAGGGTTTAGGGTTTAGGGTTAAGGGTTTCCGCCGGAAGAACTGAGAGCCTCCGGGCGATCCCGTAGATGACTGCAGCACGAGTATCACGCTCTCGAGGGTTTAGGGTTTAGGGTTTGGAACTTAGGGTTTAGGGTTTACATTTAGTCCCTAGTCGTTCGGCTTCATTGTTTAGGGGCCGGGAACTCGGTTTAGGCCTAGAAAGGGTTTAGGGTTTAGGGTTTAGGGTTTAGGGTTTAGGGTTTCCAAAATGCCGAAAAAGAAGCCGAAGCGGAAGGTCCCTCAACCAAAAGTTGATTTACAAAAACTCCAAGAAGATGCGAGGCGGCAGCACATCGAAGTAGGGCTTTAGGGTTTAGGGTTTAGGGTTTAGGGTTTAGGGTTTAGGGTTTGTCTCTTTGCTGGGGTCACCACGCGGGAGCTGCGTTGCCCAGGCGGCCCAATCCGCCTGCAGGCGCTAAATATCCAAGCCCTAAACCCTAAACCCTAGCCCCTAAACCCTAGCCCCTAAACCCTAGCTCTAAACCCTAAACCCTGGCTCTAAACCCTAAACCCTCGCGAATCTGAGGTGTATGTACACCTCAGGAAAGCACAGCCCTCGTGCTGCAGCATGCAGATCGCCCGCAGAAGGAGTTGCTGGGGCAGTGGATAGAAGAAGCAACAAAAATTAAAGTGAGAACAAACCCTAAACCCTAAACCCTAAACCCTAAACCCTAATTTGGAGGCCCTCAGCAGCGCCCTCAAGCGGGCGGGGAAAATAGAGCCCCTCTTTCAAAGCCACTGGCTGAGCAACTCACTGCAGCTTAGGGCTTAGTGTTTAGGGTTTAGGGTTTAGGGTTTAGGGTTTAGGGTTTAGGGTTTAGGGTTTAGGGTTTGGGTGACTGCAGAAGCAAGAAGCTTTGCAGGGTTTGGAGCGCGAGATCGGCAAGCACGAGGGTTTGGTGGAGAGTACGAACAGCGTGTTGCAAACCCTAAAATGGGGTTTACAGGACGACGACGAGGGTTTGGAGTCCGGTGTACATACACTCGAAGCCACTCATTCTCAGCTTTCTTCTCTTCAAGACAAAAGAAGAAAAAACATTTTTTTTTATTTTCAAGAAAGATCTCAAGAAATGAAAAACAAGTTCTTCCAAAGCATTCAACAAATCAAAAACAGCCATTCCGAGTTCATCAGGCAACTCCAAACCCTCACGCAGCTCGTGAGGCCCAGGGTTTAGGGTTTAGGGTTTAGGGTTTAGCGTTTAGGGTTTAGTAGGGTTGGGGGATATGCTTTCGCGGCTTCAGCCCAGCGCTACGGTCTAGTGCCGAAGGAATCTGGACGTGAGGCTTGGGATTACGAATTTAGGGTTTAGGGTTTAGGGTTTAGGGTTTAGGGTTTGGGGTTTAAGGCCAAGTATTTGGGGTTTAGGGTCCAGGGGCTTCGGATGTTTCTTTACGCGGCCCTGCTTCTTAACCTTGACGGCCCCACTAAGGTCTAGGGTTTAGGGTTTAGGGTTTAGGCTTGGCTAAGTCCCAAACCCTAAACCCTAAACCCTAAACCCTGTTCCATAAAGGCTAGAGCCTGAACCCTAGGGCGTGGCCCCTACAGAGCACTCGCTAGCCTCTAATCCCCAGACGCTGCAGCCTAAACCCTAAACCCTAAACCCTAAACCCTAAACCCTAGAGCCCCTTCTCGGAGCCTGTCTCTGGGCCCGGGTGCGGGAGGGCCAAACGGCGGAGGCGGCCGCCGGGGGGCCGGAGGGACGTAACCCTAAACCCTAAAAAAGGGTTTGTGGTTTCAGATTCGGGAAGAAGACGCGGCGCTGGCGTACGAAGAAAACTTCCACCAAAGCAGCGACTTGTCGCTGTTTCAAAACCGCGCAGTGGAGCTGCAGCACCAGCTGCAGTCGCGAGCAGCAGCAGCAGCGCAAACCCTAAAAGGGGGTTTAGAGAAAGCCGCGCAAAGCCACGCTGCTGCCACCGAGGGTTTAGTCCAGGAGTTCAAAAGACTCTCCGCTCAAGACCAAACCCTCGCCAAACAAGTCCAGGAAAAACACCAACAAATAGAACGCCTCCAACTCGCCATTAGGCGCTGGAAAGAAAAGGCCAGGCAGCACAAACAGGTCGAACCCTAAACCCTAAACCCTAAACCCTAAACCCTAAACCCTAGGATCTGGGCCCAGAGCCTGGACCCTAAACACCAACAAATAGAGCGCCTCCAACTCGCCATTAGGCGCTGGAAAGAAAAGGCCAGGCAGCACAAACAGGTCAAACCCTAAACCCTAAACCCTAAACCCTAAACCCTAAACCCTAAACCCTAAACCCTAGGTTCTGGGCCCAGAGCCTGGACCCTAAACACCAGCAAATAGAACGCCTCCAACTCGCCATTAGGCGCTGGAAAGAAAAGGCCAGGCAGCACAAACAGGTCAAACCCTAAACCCTAAACCCTAAACCC